AGTTTCCGAGAAAATCAATCAAATGTGAAAACACTGCTTTTTTTAACGTTTTCTCAAATTTAAACACTAATTACAGCCAAACCGATGAAACCACAACAATATATGAATACTCGTTCCATTCCCCAATCATTCAGCTTTCATATGCATCATTTGGATCTATTCCATCTTTTATAGTTTCTGAGAAAATCAATAAAATGTGAAAACACTGCTTTTTTTACCGTTTTCTAAAGTTTAAACACTAATTACAGCCAAACCGATGAAACCACAATAATATATGAATACTCGTTCCATTCCCCAATCATTCAGCTTTCATATGCATCTTTTGGATCCATTCCATCTATTATAGTTATCGAGTAAATCAATGAAATGTACTTACACAAGTTTTCAATCTTCCTAACTTGGTTGTGAGACAAATTGATCGTATCAAGCAATGGGAGATTCTCCAAGTTTTCGATCCTTTTAATCAGATTGTAATGCAGAAACAGACTGCGCAATTCTTGCTGATGATCAAGCCCACTTATTTTGAGGATGCCGTTGTTCTCCAACCACAGACACTTCAAGCCCGTATACTCATCCAAGTTTTCGATTCTCGAGAATCCTTTGAAGTGCAAATACAAAACGTCATTCAGCCGGGGAACAGTGTACAGTCTTTGTTCTTTGCAGTGCTTCAATATAAATTCTTTACTCATCCTGAAACAAATAAACAAAAATCTTATGTCTCTCTACTATTTATTATAGAAATAGAAAAATATTCATATGCAATTAACTGAAATCTTAGCAAATAAATATTATCCAAATTGTAAATTCTTCATTATTCAAATTTCTTATGTAAATGAAAAGATAATACTACATTATTTAGTATAGAATTAAAGTATAATTACCTGGGTCCTTTAAGATCGACATCTTTCTCGCAAATTCCCCGAGGTTTTTCAACAGCCAACGACATTTTTCTTTGCAAATTTGTTATCGATCAAACGTTTTGTTTTCCACATTGCCATAACAACCTAAATTATATGCTTACTGCAATTGCATTCACGAAAAAAAAAAGTATTAAATTAGTATTTTAAATACAAAATATAGAAGTAATCATATATTTCTAAAAAGTTTTAAAATCTAATTTTAGTGCTACATAGTAATTAATTATAGTATTAATTCAAATTCGACCAATGATGTGGCAGCAAGATTCAAATCGTTGACCAATCGGATGGTAGAAACGCTCAGGCTTCACCAATGAAAAGCGGGCATTTCGCAAATTGATTTTCAACTGTCAAAGAGTAGCGCGGCGTAACGGATGATGAATCCTGTAGCAGAAAATAATTGACCAATTGATTCGTTAGATCATCTCACAGACAAACATCAAAGATGCCTTGCGAAATGATAACGTTGCAGCTCGGCCAATGCGGTAATCAGAGTGAGTTTCGTCTTTGGAGAAGAAGTGTTGTGTAGGTTATAATTCTTTGTCTCAACAGTTGGCTTCGAGTTTTGGAAACGTCTCTGCGCCGAACACGGCATAAACCCTGAAGGAGTGCTGGAGGACTTCGCCACAGATGGCATCGACAGAAAGGATGTTTTCTTCTATCAAGCTGATGATGAGCATTACATTCCGAGGGCTGTGCTCATGGACTTGGAGCCCAGAGTCATCAACACCATCATGAACTCACCGTATTCGAAACTCTACAATCAAGAGAACGTTTTTCTCTCGAAGAATGGAGGAGGTGCTGGTAATAATTGGGCTTGCGGATATTCACAAGGTGAAAAATTGAATGAAGAGATTTTTGATATTATTGATCGAGAAGCGGATGGATCTGACAGTCTTGAAGTATTATTTGTTTTTTATTTAATAATTTTGAGTAAACTTAATCATTTCGTTTTAGGGATTTGTGTTGTGTCACTCGATTGCTGGTGGTACTGGATCCGGAATGGGTTCTAATATATTGGAGAAATTGTCTGATAGGTTTCCGAAAAAGTTGGTGCAAACTTACAGTGTCTTTCCCAATCAAGACGAAATCAGCGATGTCGTCGTGCAGCCATATAATTCGTTGCTGACTTTGAAGAGATTAACAGAATCTGCGGATTCCGTCGTCGTATTGGATAATACCGCTTTGAATAGGATCGCCGCGGATCGTCTTCACATCCAGAATCCCACGTTTACTCAAATCAACAGTTTAGTCAGCACGATAATGTCTGTTTCTACGACGACGTTAAGGTATCCATCGTATATGAACAATGATTTGATGGGTCTGCTAGCACCGTTAATCCCAACTCCAAGATTACATTTCCTCATGACTGGTTACACCCCATTATCAACGGATACCGACGAAGTTAGCGTTAGGAAAACCACCGTGTTGGATGTTATGAGAAGACTGCTGCAACCTAAGAATATGATGGTTTCGACGAGTTTGGATAGGAATTCTCAGCATTGCTTCATTTCCATATTAAATATAATTCAGGGCGAAGTGGACCCGACGCAAGTGCACAAATCGTTGCAGAGGATCAGGGAGAGGAAACTGGCGTCGTTCATTCCCTGGGGTCCAGCTAGTATTCAAGTTGCCTTATCTAGAAAATCCCCGTACATACAAACGGCTCACAGAGTTTCCGGTCTCATGTTGGCCAATCACACTAACATTAGTTCAGTAAGTTGAACAATTCGAATTACAATTAGTTTCATTGAAATTTACCTTATTTTCAGCTATTTGAGAGAGCTTTACAGCAGTACGATAAGTTGAGGCGTCGCGAAGCTTTCTTGGAGCAATTCAAAAAGGAAGAAATGTTTCAAGACAATCTCAATGAGCTGGATAACAGTCGAGAAGTTGTTCAAGATCTGGTGGATGAGTACGTGGCCGCAACAAGGGAAGATTACTGCACATGGGGCGATTCCAAACGAACCTGAACCAACAAATTTTGCATATCGCTGCTCTGTGCCATTTTTCAAGTTTATTATTATTAATCCGGTTAATTATTCATATTTATTGTTGATTTTCTTATTATGATGAATACGCTAATAAAATAAAAATATAAAATGTTTATTTTTTTCAAGTTAAATTCTACAAGCCCATCTCTTTCAGTAGGTTAAACACTGCTTTTTCGAACGTTCTTATTTCAATTTTTCAACTTTGAACGCGTATTACAGCAATTTGGATAAAAGTACAGGAATGTATCTACACTTGCTGAATTCCCCAAACATTCAGCTTTCATATGCATATATTGGATTCATTCTATCTGTTATAGTTTTCGAGTAAATCAATGAAAT